GTTTCATTGCTATAGTGGGTAAAAGTGAAAGCTTCTGTTTTTGGTTCTTTGTTTTTTTCATGAGATTGCTGAAATACCTTGGAAGATTTGAATCTTTTTTTAAAGAAAATGAAGTAGAAGGTGTCAGTGGATTTGGATTTGTTTCATTTTTCCAGTTCTTGTTATTTTTTAGTAAAGTTTCCTTGGAAACTTATGATTTAATATAAATGAATTGATTCGTTGACTATGTTGTTTGTACAACGACGATCATGGTGACAGATTAGCAACGGATGTAAAGGTGTAGCTAATTTGCAATGGATTAGTGACAGGATCTTCAATGAATTTTTATGATTTGCACCAGATTGAAAGCAATTTTATTATTTTTTGTTCAAATTTAGTGTCAGAATTTAGAAAATCCATTGCAAAAAAATAAATAAAATTGCAATGGTTAATCTAGCAACGGAATTATGAAATCTGTTACAAATTCTTTGAGTGTTGAGGCTCTTTGCAATGGACTGGATCCGTTTGACTATCTGCTGCTAAATCAGATTTGCGATGGAGATTTACTAGCAATGCGTTTCTGCTACTTTGCAAGGGATAAACGTCGGTTTTCTTGCAGGTGAAAATCATTTGCTCTTTTCTTTTATTTCTCGTGACAGTGATAACAGCTAATATACTCTTATCCGCACTTTGATGCTTCAAACTCAGCATGAGACTTTTTTTGAAAAGTATTGAGATTTTTGTTTGAAAATATTACCAATTAAGTATTACTTTGTGTTGCGTTGGTGGTCTTTGCAATTGAGATTGGTGATGACCTTCCCTTTTCTGATATTGCAGGTGCTTTTTATAGCTATTTCTCGGCTCAAACTAGTGACAGTGAAGTGAAAATGGATCTGAATCCCATCAAGGATGCATTTGATCGTGTTGCCAAAAAGCAAAAGATGTCTGGTTCTAAAACACAAGAAGTCGTTGCTCAGATGATACAAGAGATTGAGAATTCATTAGAGATAATTAAGGCAGAACATTTTGGTTCTGAAGTGGACTGTAAATCTGTCTTTGGTGAACTTAAGAAAAAGTTGCTAGAAATTGCTCCACTCAGTCAGCTGGAAGGCACACAGAAGGAACTAAATATAGCTCTGAGCAAGTACCCAAAACAGCTCGAGAAATCTTTCATCCCAGACATATCCAAAGCTTATAGAAACATCGATTTTGATGCTCACACTGTTAACCAGATAATTGCTGGCCATTTCTACCGGCAAGGACTGTTTGATGTCGGTGACTGCTTTATAAATGAGGCCAATGTACCAGAATCTACTGCTGCTATGAAATCTCTTTTCTCAGAAATGTATATGATACTCGAAGCTATGAAGAACAAAAATCTAGAACCTGCGCTGAACTGGGCTGCTGCCAATTCCAATAAGCTCAAAGAAAATGGGTCAGACCTGCTGTTGAAACTTCATTGCCTGCAGTTTGTTGAAATACTGCAAGGTGGAAGTAGAAGCAAAGCGCTCTCATATGTTAGAACTCACATTTCTCCTTTTGGTGCCAACCATTTTTCAGAAATCCAGAAGCTTATGGCCTGTCTCCTGTGGTCTGGAAGGCTCCATCACTCTCCATATTCTGATTTACTATCACCTACTAATTGGAATGTGGTGGCTGAGGAGCTTACGAGGCAGTTTTGTAATCTTTTGGGGCAGTCTTTTGATAGCCCATTGAGTGTGACAGTAGCAGCAGGGTTCCAGGGTCTGCCACCTCTTTTGAAGTTTATGAATGTGATGGCAGGGAAGAAACATGAATGGCAGTCAATGAAACAGTTACCAGTGCCTGTGGAGTTGGATAGGGAATTTCAGTTCCATTCCATCTTTGTATGTCCTGTGTTAAAGGAGCAATCAACTGACGAGAACCCCCCTATGTTGATGCAGTGTGGCCATGTGCTATGCAAGCAGTCTATCAATAAGATGTCAAAGAACGGGTCCAAAACTTTTAAATGCCCTTACTGTCCTTCTGACATCGATTCAACACAGTGTAGGCAGTTACATTTCTGATTTGTGCCCAAACTTTGTACATTAATTTGTATAAAACTCTCTCATGAACCGAATGAAATGATGTAGAACTGGTGATTGTGTGTTGTGTAGTGTAGCCAGGGGTGTGATGATGTTGGCAAAGCTGGTGTGTGATGTACTGTTTCTCTATGAATTTGTTGTAAATAGACATTCTTTGGATTTTATTGTTGGCCGTTGGAAGCCATTTCCACAGGCTTTTGTTTCCCACTGCTTTGGTTACTCGTGTAAATGACTAAATGTCCTTACAGCTACTGTCAAGCCTGTGGCCTGCGGGGCTGTTTCGCAAGCAGGAAATGAGTATTTCAGCTCGCAAGGCATATGGCACCTGGCTTTCACCCTGTCTTCCGCTGCTCCTATTACCTGCGTCGGTGAGTTACTTGGTCCTTCACCTGAGTTCGTTATGTGAGAGCTTACATATAAGATGGGTTCATCTTATATATATAAATCAAACTTTTTATTTCTAATGGAGTGGAATTCCCAGCTCACATGTGATTCCCAAACAAATCTCCTCCACATGAGAGCCTGGCTTTCACATTGAAAATTACTTCCTCTCCAATGGAGGGTGCCTTCACAATCTGAGGGCCTGTCATGATTTGTGGCTTACAACTCTTGTAAGGGCGCCTACCCTTCACTCCTATCACGGAAGTCTCTGTCTTACTGCTCCATGAGCACAGCCATGAAAGTCAATCCACACTATTTTCATGCTCATCTTAGTCAATATTGTGTTTCTGATATTCAGTTTCAGATTTCTAACATAAAAACATGGATAAGTGCTGCGGTTACAGATGAGAGTACATGCACTCTAGGATTCGATGACAGGAAGATATCTGATGAAGTGATGAGAAAAATTAATATGAATTGCTATGCTGGCTAGCATTGCTTGGGCTCTTATTAATAAACGAAGTACTAGTTCTTGTTCTTGTTTTGGTTGGACAATTTGTTTACAGTTTCTTCAATTCTGCTCAGCTTTTTTATCCAAAAGTTTCTTGTGTCATAATCACATTTTTTTTTAATTAGTAATGACTCGATTCCAATTATGCAACAGCACATTTTGGTATCTAATGAAGGCATGGCGTGTGCTCACAGAAAAAAATGAAATTTAATTGTACTGGATCATGAATAGGGTATCCCAGGCATACCCAACTTGTTAGATGGTGTTCTTCGCTGCGGTTCAACCGTAACTTTGTAAATTAAAAAAAAATATTTAAAATTATTTTTTATATTATTTTAATATATTGATATTAAAAATAAATTTATATATATATATATATATATTATTTTAATATATTTTCAAATAAAAAATATTTAAAAAAATAATATTTAGCATTAGTTTACACATCTCCTCTTGAATTAACCAGAAAAGGCCTAAAATTAACTAGAATGAAAATGACACTATTTTGAAGATTGACATGAAATGGATTTTGGGATGTGACCTTTTGTTTTAGTTAAAATAATATAATTTGTTATTTTTCAAAAAAATCTTCAAGTTAAGTCGTTGGATCTGAATTAATTTTAATAGTTAGATTTGAATTAGTTTTGATGAATCAATTAAATTCTAAAATATAAAATTAAATTAACTGAATTGTATCATATCAGTACTATTTTTTTTTTAATCCTGGTTAAAGCTTCAAATCACAAAATTCCAATCATGTCAATCTAGGTTTAAAGGTATGATAATTGGAGCTAGCACCCCAATAATTGGAACCACCAGCACCCCAAGTGAGGAGCTCTATAATTGGAACAGAGGTCACCGGCAAGCAAGCTGGATCATGTTCAAAATAATTAGAAGCAATTGCGCATTCCTCTGGAGATATGGCAGCTAGCTTGAATTTTTTTTACCTTTTAATTAGCTAATAGAGGGTTACACTGTGATTTTTTTTAAAAAAAGAAAAGCTTGATTAAAAAAAAAATTATTTTAGGGGCTTAGTTGTTATTGACTGGTTATTGAGGGCTCCCCCCACCAATTAGCAACCAAATTAAGCTCTCACAAAGTCTCGACAAGTAAACACTTATGCCACGAAAATCACAGCTAACACTATAATTTAATTAATCCAACAAGTCAAATATTTCTGGCTGACACAAGCTGTGCGCATGGGGAAATCACTCAAGAAATCCCGACTATTATATATATATATATATATATATTCTGGATCTTGCAAACCATTTTGAGAGATTCTGTACAAGAATTGTCTTATGATTCTATTTTCACGTGACATGTGACCCTGCTAATTATTAACTGATCAAATTAATAACATGTTACACTGAATT